GGGGGGGGGGGTAAAATATAATGTTGGTAGCAAAACACCTTCCTGTCAAAACTGTATCTTTAATTAAATGCATAAAGTCCCACATACAGGCCAGTTACACGATGGAGTTCTGGTTGCATACTACTCCCCTTAAAGCAGCATGTGTGCATGTGGGCTGAATTTGGATTCTAAGCTAAATACCATTGATACGCACGCTAATTGCAAGTGTTGCCAGCCTCCAGGCTCATAGCATCCAGGTCTCTATGAATCAGAGGCCTCATTTAATACTAAATATATATATGTATATATATTTATATGCCGTCTGGAGGTATAAAAAAATCATGCGCAGAATGAACCCTCCTATAATAAGTCAACATCGCCAAATGGGCGAAATAAGCGCAATAAGATTGATTTGTAGGAGGAGGGGGAGGAGGGGCAGGGGCATTAGTCTGGATATCTGTGTCAGAAAGGGGAAAACGTGAGAAAATATTGCCTTCTTTAACTCCACCACCATCGCAGGAAAGAGGAGTAATGACGGCAGAAATAAGACGAGTGCTATCCACACACGCACACACACACATTAACATTCGATTCAAGCAGACAAGGTCACTACAAAGCGCAAGGCTTGAAAATACTTTCCTCAGTCATCAAGCTAATTAGAACCAGTTTGGGAACTGCATATTGTACAAAAAATTGGACAAACTACTTTCAATTTGGGACTTAATGAAGGTCTTAACCAAGTAGGCAAAAAAGATTGCACATAATCAATAACTACTTTTCTCAAATATCTCAAAATTTTAAACCTGCCAATCGCAACAAGAGTTCAAACGAAATTTTTAATTTTCCTGATCGCCAACTACAAATTCCATTCAATTCTCACCACCCAATAAAAGGTATACGAACAGACCCTTATTTCCATGTTTCACGAGCGCACCCAAGATAGTCACCTGATCTTAGTGTTTAGACAATGAATGAAAATCCAATATTCTCAAAGATAGGTTTAAAGAAGAGGGTTAGCATACCAATAGGATGTTGGTCAACTTTTGTAGGCTCGCGATTACGGCACTGAGTACGAACGAATCGCAGTAGTGATGATGCACCTAAGAACAAGAGACGCAAATCAATCACAATTGAAAGCACACATTTAAGAGAATGTAGGTCAAGAAATTCACCGTCCAAATTCCTTCACAAGGCCGAAAAAAACACAATGAATAAAAACACTGAGTTTACGAGAAGAAGGAGGAAGTGGGGGGGGGGGGGGGAGGGAACACATTTTTCTAAACAAATGCCGCCACCAACTGATACAACGTGAGCGGACGGTAGCAGACGGTGCGGCACATGACCCATTTTATTGAGCGCTTATAACTTTGCTGAGAAATAAATTTCTTGGGAATAATAGGAAGGTGCGAAAGATAGGTGAAGAAGAAAGTGGGATAGTTAAATTGAGATTATTTGACACTTTTCTTCTAAAATAGTCCAACCCCACACTCCCCATATAAGATCAGTTTCATTCACATGGCAAACAACGCAGAAAAAGATCTAACCGAATTACCGTTGAATGGTGGTCCAAAATCGTCTAATTGCACAGTTCTCAGATCCAATTATAATACAACAGACGGGTTTTGAACTCCCCCCCCCCCTCCCAAACTTTTGCTCATCATTTTGATCGAATTTTCCTTACAGAGAGAAGATTAATCATAATTCTTCTTAATTGATTAAATTTGAAAACTCTTTCGTTCGACGCAACGTACTTCACTGTGTACATTCATGGGCGTAGACTTTATCTATCAAGAATTCACATCCTAGCTAACAACTCAACTAAAAACAGAGTGAGTTGAGGTCTAGAACCACTAAAGTGAACACATTAATCTCCATTCTTGAACCAATGAATACATGTATGCAAGCATGCATGCATGCATAGAGTACCTCAACTTCCACCTGTTAAATAGGGGACTTTCTAGCAACCCTCCCCCCCCCCCCCCCCACCCCCATTTTCCCAACCAATGAAAATAAGTTAACTTATTTGTTGGTAGTGGTGCGTGTAAAAACGGTAGACGCTCAGGGTATTATGACTTTTCTGTGATAATGTAATTTTAAGTACCTGTTCAATAATTCTGGCATGCGTCTTCATGAAGTTTGCATTAGCAGCAAGATAATCATCACGATCGGGAGAAGGCCAACGTGTGGAAGGGTTGTTAGCGAACTCCGTCAGACGTCGAATCAACTTCCACATTCGAGATTGCCAGTGTTTCACACCAATAAGGACTACAAGGACCAGAAAGGAAAGAAACAATGGAAATCGCACGATAATTAGGAAAAGTAATAACGATTTAAGACGGTAAGCTTCACAATCGATTCAGTTAAACCAGATTCTCTTGCAAATGAAACAACTTCAAAATCGATTGCACAGAATGGAGGCTAGTCCACACTTCCTCATCATCAGTATCCCATATGCTCTCAAACTGATATTCTTCGACCTCACATTGGTCCGATTCTTGTCGTACCTATTTGAGGAATCTCCTCTATAATCGTGGTTGATTTAAAGTGACCAGGGGTTTTAGTCCGTCACAACCGGTACTACTATCGTTAACAGCCTCGCCACTCAATGAACACCAAAAATTGTTATACCCAGGAATGTCATCCAGTTCTAGTTTATTCCATTTGAGGACCTTAGTCGTGTTCTCAGTAACCCCCATTTTCATTCTCCACCTAAATTCAGTTACCTAGATGAGCAACTGCGTGCGGAACAAGGAGAGATTGCTATGGAGATACCTAATCCTTCACATTTTAGGTATTGAACTACACCACATCTCGTCTTATCTGGCCGAAGTCCAGCAGAAGTTCTTGTGATCCCATGATTCAAGACAATGAAGGCATTATCGCAACTCCGTGTGATAACAAACTGAGCAAAGTGGATGTTGGCGCCTAAATTATGGTGTGCCAGAGCAATCAGCACCGGCCTCAGTATAAAGTCGGAACCGAATAAACAAAAGAAAAATTTGGGCGTATGTGACCTCTTTTCGCCTTGGAGTTGTGAAACTCCGGAAAATTTGGAAAAATTCGGAGCCAATGACCAAACGTAAGGATAGGAAAATATTTTCATGAGATGCTGGATAAAAACAAAAGCTATTTCATCCAAGATAAAGGTAATTAACAATTTTCTAAAAATTATTCGCAAATTTTGAAAAAAAATGTCACAATGTACTAAATTTCTCAACCGATACTTTGCAGTATTTCGATTTCTGTGTTGCTATTGAGTTCTGGTAATCTTAGGCTATATTGGGAGGTTAGCGAGACTAATAACATGCCCCCAAATGAAAAATAAAAACGTTTCCCATCAATTGGCATAAAAATCTGAACAGTTTTATTGTAGCAATGTCGTGACGTGCAAACTGGTAATGCTTCCTCCCCCACCCCCACTCCCCCACTCCCCCACTCCCCCAATTTCTACCCAGCTAAATTGTCTGCCTACATCATGTTGCCCGGCAAGCTTAAAAGCATGTAATTTTCCACTTGATGGTGAAGCCTTGTGTTCTCTCAATTCTACAATCTGTCGGTGGTCTCTTTCCGATCTTACTTTTGCTGAAGTCCACGAAGTTCTGGACAAACGAGAGGTTGATGGCTCGCTTTTTCCCTTTTTCCTTTTGATGTCCTCTTAAAAGCCGCTGTTGCGCCGATTACAACAGCCATTGTACCTTTATCATAATGAAGAAAAGTGTGACACTAAAGGTCACTTGAACTCCATACCATTTGGCACAGAAGAACAAAACGAGCACGGATAGTTACGTTATTTAGGAACCGGGTAGAATAATGTTTTACTAGCCCCCAAGCTACTTCAGTAAATTGCGTGATCGGATCAGTGCAAAATTATTGAATCAGTCCTAAACCTCTCTACACCAGTTCAAAATACAGAGGGGGATGGATCCATTGACCGCTACGCTTTTTGGTGTTATCGCGACTCAAATCAAACTTAGGTAATTGCGTAGTTAGGTGAGGAGGGGAACTAGGAAAAGGGGATGTGGGGCATACATTTCACATAGGGAATTAAAAACACTCCCCCCCCCCCCCCCCCACCACCACCACCAGGATGCAGATTTTCGATTTGATAATTAGGCAGAGCACCCACACAGGACGTTTGGATTGGAGATATGCTGTACCGGTGCACATCGATGCATAAATTCGGTCAATAGGCTTCCTGCAAAACATTCATATACCCAACAAAACTTAAGCCCTCTGCAATTCAATAAAACACCTTGTTTGTGAATAGTAGAAGATGTGACTGCGTGCCTATCCGCATGCCTATATCAACTGCTCAGCAATCTCCGAACATCCCACTGCTGATAGTCACTCAAGCATCAAGGTGAAACATCCCAATATCAAGGTGAAACTTTGAAAAGAAAATAGGACGCAAAGTGAAGAAACCGAATTTTTTACCCACACTCGGCTTCACACTCTTCACTCCTTAATAGAAGCAATGCTTGGAAACTTGCCATGGATAAAATGAAATCAGACTGGGAAATGATGCAGCTACAAAGTAACTTCAATCATTCCTCATAAGTTGAAGTTAGATCTGTAACAAAATCATTGACTTGAAACTAATATAAATAATGCAATTAAGTATTAGATATAAAAAAGGCATACGAGCCAAAAAAATAGAATTATGGTATGAGAAATATAGTACTGATTACAATAGCCATCACTAACTAGGAGAAAGCGAACTACAAACAAGTAGCTTAGCGATCAAAATGTTGTCCTAAAAACCATCACTACCACGAAACTAAGCAAACTACTGTGAGTCGAGTCTTAAAGATGAGCTGACTGCTTTAACAATTCTTGCATCGGTTACCGCTGGCATATCAGAGGTCAAGAGAAAGGTATCTGTCAGCGATCGGAGTGCCTAATGGAAAAGTGATTAATAGCTTCCTACAAGCTCAAGATTGCTGTAAAGAATTTTCTCCGAAGGACTAGAGACTTAATACCTCGGTGTTGGCCTTCATTCACTCAATCAAGAAACGACTTCACCTACTTTCTCCCTCATTCCACTGCCTTGCAGCATGTGGTCCAACGCTTGCCAGCATCGTTAGTCGAGTGACTTCAAGCCCGTGCCGAGATACCACTTCAGAAGGCTCCACTCCATTCAACTTCGATTTGCTCATCTTCTCCCAGGATTCCAACACCACCTCGCCAGTTTCCTTCGCTCTAAAAAGGCCTATTCAAAGACAAAAGAAATTATAGCATTAGAGTACTTTGCATTACTATTAGTGCAAAGATTTATGCCAAATTTACGATTTTGATTGTGGGAAGAGACTGGCGCCGAATAGCAGAGTTCAACAAGGGATAAAAAGGGGGGGGGGAATCAGAAATATAAAGAGTCAAATGCCAAAGTCCTAAGCATTATTACTTCATTTTGCTTCAATACTCGGGTTGCACAATATTCACTGAATGGAAAACTAACTCCCCGACTCATCCCCTGGTCGCGTAGTTCTAACTGGCCGGTAGTATTTAATCAAGGAGGAACTGCGTTGTAGTTTCATTTCATCATTTCCAATGATCGAGAATGCAATTGATCGAGCATAAGATTGCGTCGTTTATCATTTTAACATAGAAGTGATGACATAGCTGAAATGTTAGGCTTGCCGCCGAGCACCTTAAGCTGTGTTAACAAAAAGTCAACAATTGTATACACATTGCTTTAGTACACATTGTAATAAAGCTCACTTAACACTTGATTAACTGAGTTAGCAATGGTGACTATTTCTATCACAAGGGCATTAATCTTTTGTCAAGAAAAGAATGGCCATAAAAACAACCCACTAACTTTCTACACACTTGCGGTGTGAATGACCCGATTACGAACAATTGATCCCGAGAACCTGATAAACGTGACGAATAGCACCAACGCAAATATAGATGTTGAGTCAAGAACAGGTGTAAAGGTTTTAGAAGAGAACGCCTAACTATTGACACAAAAGTACACCCCCTCCCCCTCCCCCTCCCAATCTTCCTTCCTTTCTGTACGATCCGCGTCCCTCTCTCGATCTCTCAACTCACCCCCCCTCTACCCCCACCCCCACCCCCAAAGTCCACCCAGTAAAATACTTAACTAATACTCAATTGATCCCCATCTTGTTTCGTGAAGAAGTTTAACAGTTAAGGCGAGAATTACCTAGTACTGCGTCTACGGAATTGAAAGTAACTACTCTACGGTTTTTCTCCTTACTATCTATTGGGTGGGCAACTAAGTCATTGCCGTTTTTGTTGACGGATTCACTCTATACTTTCTTTTGTTTTGTTAACGTGGCCAGAGCATCTAACCTCTATTTTTTTCTTACTGTATGGGCTTCTAGGTTAATTAGTAAAAAATTTTTTTTTGTTTAGTTCTTTAGTTTTGTTTTTATCCCAATTTAAAAATGAAAGAACAGGACGTACACTTCCGACACATTTTATTGTATTACTTCCGAAAAGGCAAGAACGCATCGCAAGCACAAAAGAAGTTATGTGCCGTATATGGAGATGAAGCCTTAAAAGAAAGGCTGTGTCGAAATTGGTTTGAAAGATTTCGTTCCGGTGATTTTTCACTCAAAAATTCACAACGATCTGGCTGCCCAGTCGAAGTGGATGAAACCCATATCAAGGCCATTATTGATTCAAATCGTCACAGCACAACACGAGATATTGCAGAGAAGCTGCTCAATGTGTCGCATACATGCATTGAAAAAAAATGAAAAACCCTTGGTTATGTCAAGAAACTTGATTTATGGATCCCTCACCAGTTAAAGGAAATTCATTTGACGCAACGGATTAGCATCTGTGATTCGCCGCTACTGAAACGCAATGAGAATTATCCATTTCTGAAGAACCTAGTTACTGGCGACGAAAAGTGGGTAGTTTATAACAATGCTACTCGCAAGAGATCATGGTGAACCAAGATCAATCAGCCCAAACAGTATCAAAAGCAGAGATTCACCAAAAAAAGATTATGCTGTCAGTCTGGTGGGGGGATCACAAAGGAATTTTGTATTTTGAAGTCATGCCGCAGAACCAAACGATAAATTCAAATGTGTATGTTGAAGAACTCGAAAAACTGAAGGATGCAATTGAAGATAAGCGGCCGGCATTATCAAATCGGAAGGGTGTTGTTTTCCATCATGATAACGCAAGGCCCCACACATCTTTGGTTACTCGGCAAGAATTATTGGAACTGGGTTGTGATGTTTTGTCACACCCACCATATAGCCCTGACCTTGCGCCTTCGGATTACCATTTGTTTCGTTCCATGCAAAACTCTTTAAATGGTAAAATTTTTAACAACGCGGATGATGTCGGATCACACCTAATTCAGCTTTTTTAATAGCAAAGACCAGACATTTTACGAACGGGGAATTTTTACTCTGCCAGAACGATGGAAAAAGGTCATCGACAAGAACGGCCAATATCTAATTGAATAAAGTTATATTTTTAAACAAAAATTCCGAATTTGCCTTCTTATTTGAAATCGGCAATGACTTAGTTGCCAACCTAATACTATACTTCCAAACGCAACTAACCTGGTTGCGATAATTTCAATTCTAAAACAGCAAGAGTCCGAGCATAAAAATACCCTGATTACCTTAATCATCTATTATCCCACCTCACAATTTTTCCCATTTCTAAATCAAGCCTGAAATGGTACTCCCATCATCATTTCCGGCAACTTTTGCAATTCGGAAATTTGTATTCTATAATTCATCCATAGGACAGTGTTAACTAACTAATACGGGGGGTGTGCGATAGACTTACCTCCACGTGGTGCACCCTGGACAACGTATACTCATACGGCAAAAAAGTCTGTTAACCGGCAGTTGACTTCTCACTTCAAGCTACAATGGCCCCTCTGTATGTCATATTCGACCCCCAACCACTACTCATCATACCCTTTCTGAGCCTTTTTGCCCGTTTCTTTTACATCTCCAAAACACTTTTCTATTCCCCCTCCTGAAATTCTTCTCACTTTGATGTTCCTCCCCCCCCTCTGTGAAGCCCGAAGTCAACTGAAGGGCTAATGATAACTATCAAAACGTCTGCCATTTGTTATAAATAAATAAATAAACTAACTAATACGGTAGGTCCAACAACGTTTATCGAATAATGGTTAAGATTAATCGATTATTGCACGCCGGTAATGCCTCTGTTTTTATTAATGATAAACTTCGGAGAAATTACACAATTCGAAGACATACAGATGATCCCGTCCTTTCAATAACAAAAAAAACTGAGAAAAAAGGGAGATAAGCGCCAAGCCGATAGAAGCACATAGCACTTTTAAAATCAAATCGCAACATCAAAGTACCGCTTCCACAAATCATAATTCATGGGGAAGATACCATCAGTCTAATTGCTATCCCCCTGAAACCTCAACTTTTTATACCCACTTCTAATTGACTCCATCGTGGCCAGATCATTAATTTGGCCTCCAAGCAGCTCTACAGGTAGGGAGAGAAACTTCCACAAAAAGGGAGAATAACTACTAACCCAGTCAAGGAGGATATAGGCGGGAATTGCTTCCCCCCCCCTCACCTCCTTTGTTTGATCAGAATTGTGCATGAAATTGTCACACTCCTATATTCCGCTCAATTTATACATTATGGCATGTTTCAAGTTTACTGTCAATACTAAGCTGACAAACCGGGTTTACTATGGAACCCAATCAAAGCCAACGAGGCAACAATTCTGTATGGTGGGATGGTCTCATGCGAGGCTCTTGGATTCACCTCTCTTACAAAGAAGGCAGTTAACAAGGTGAGGGAGAGGAAGAGGAGGAAGAGGAGGGGTGGTGTTGTGAAGACGTGAAGGGAAAGAGAAAAATAAAATCAACCATATCAAAGGGAAGTAGAGCCGGGGAGGTGGGGGGG